CCGGTAGCGACAAAAACCTGCGGGGAACTCTGCAAAAAACGCATCTTCGCACGGGCAGCCCGCGCGCTGGCCATTTATTTATACTTGCACAAAAACGACGCTGTGCCCGAAGAAGCTGGGGCTAGATGCCCCTTTTTCTTTGAACATTGTTTGCGAACTTCCATTTTGAAGCAATTTTGATTTTTTATGGCTGGAAAGCCCCCAGTCACAAAAATCCGGCTCAAACACCTCAACGCGGCAGAAATTTTTCACTTGAGCAGAAATTTTTCACTTACGCCTGGGCTCGCGTGCAGGCGCCTAAAAAAATCTGTGTGAATTTTTTGGCGGGAAAAGAACTTCGCAAGACAGGCGAAATAGGAAATTGAAAGAAGAATATTCTGTGCCCTTTCATGAATTGGAAGTTCTAAATTCAGCTTGAACCTAATATTCTGTCGCGTGTATGGACAACTTAAGATTCAAATTTTAAAACTGCTGGCAGAGTGCCAACTCAGGAATCAAGCTGAGTAGGGTCCCCTGAAGTTGCAAGCTGGGACTTCACATGGATATTATGCGCCTTTAATGAGCTAAAGATTTTAAAATTGAGCTTGAACGCAAACCTATATCAAGCGTATGGACGCATCAAAATTGAGATTTTACAATGACTGGTGGAATGCCAACTCTGGAAGTTGGCTGAGTGGAATATTTTACAAAAATATTTGCCATCTAGGGACAAGTTTGTAGACGTAATAAAAATGAGCATCCGTTTACGTTGTAGCACGCGTATGAAAAAGCTAAGCTATTTTTGGTGGGACAACAGTTTTGCGATCCAGTTAAGCTAAGAAGCTGAAATTTTCCGAAAATATGGCAGTCTGTGCGAATTCAATATTCTCAGTAACTTCAGCAAAGAACCTGTGCTTTGTGAGCAAGTGCGACTATTACTGCGATACCTCTCATGCAATTTGCGGCACACCCGATACCCGAGAAGGATCCGTGCAAGCATTTCTTCCGGATGAACACAGCGTCCCAAGGAAACATAACAGATCGCCATATCGAAGGTTTAAATGATACATTTTGCTTTCATTCTTCAGAACTTTTCCAATCTTTTTCGGTAGAAATAACCAGTTTGAGAGTGTCTGATTTCTACTGTATTTAAAATATGCGTGGAAAGTTTATAGTTTGATGTGTCATTTTTCAGGACATATTCCAAGAAAAACCAGGTTGCTGACTGGCAACAGAACATGAATTATTGCCGGGAGAAGGTTAAAACGGTGAAACCATACGCACACGGGCGCACTTTACTTGATCTAGTTGATCTCCACATTATGGATTACCTAATTGGTTCGCACAAAATAATACTTTTTAAGCTTTTAGATTTTCTGAAACTTTCCAGAGTATATTGGGAACTTAAACATATTAACAAAATACAATGAAAAAATGTGCTGAAGTAATTTAATTCAGCTCATCGTGAAAGCTGAGATAGCCAAGCTCATTAGTAGCAAGTTTAGCGTTTTTGCGAGAACCGTACAGGACGAGTGTATTAAAACGTATCGTCGCTATGCTTATATGATCCATTCCTCACATGAAAATCAATGGAAGTTCGAATTAACAGCTTATTTTGTTCTGGAGTTAGTGCCTGAACATGTCATGGGATTTGCACTCCTTCATCATTACACTGCGAACTGAGTTGATTTCCTTATTTGTTAGTTCGCCCACTCCTTAAAACTTTGAAATAGTCGGAGCTTAAAGAGAAGGCGAAGAGTAGAAAACTGCGGACTTGGGAAGTTGATCTTAGCCCAGCTATGTCTTGCTGAGAAGATAACTATAAATTCGAAATTTTAATTTTCTATTTTACTTTGTCCAAGGGCTTTGAAATTAAACTAGACAGGGACTTACGTATTTTAAAATTTAAAAAACTTTGAAGCCTAACTTCAAGATAGTTAAGTTGACGAAATTTCGAGTTTTCGGTTTATTCTTATAAAGTGGCGTGAGTGAGAAACTGAGGTCATAAATTTCAGCTTGGCAAACCTTAATTGGTTTTGATGCCAATTAAATTTAGTGCTTTACTTGGCAAGCTTTATGCTTCATTCAGCTGTTAACCGTTGCTTAGCTCGATCTGCTGTTGTTTTCTTGCCGAAGCAGATTCCTTCGAATGTGAAAAGGAGTTAGACTCTTTTCTTGCTTGGCCTTCAGTAGAAACTGCTGACACTTTTGATCAGTGATTTGTATCTGCGGAATTTCAGGTAACCAAGATCGCCATCACTATGAAACATTTGCAGTTTTTGTGGATTCACCATCTTATTCAATTCATTTAGATAATGGGCGAGCGTAAGTACTCTGTAACACTCATGCGTGTGTTTGTCATTTCTAATACTTTTTTCATTCCGTTTCTCTCTAACTGCAAATTTGCTGGTGTTTTAAAAAATAAAATCCTTGGAAATTCGAATTTTCTGGGAAGGAAAACTTTTTTTTTAAAAAAGTAAGCAATTAAAATTCCTTTTCCAAGTTGTATATCGCATCCTGGACAACAATAATATTATCCAAAAAAATACTACAGATTTGGACGGACAGATTTTGATGACGATGATATATTGCTACCATTAAGGCAATGCTGCGTGTTAAGGCCATCGACCTTCCTTACTCTGCTAAATTATTACAAAGGACCTACTTCTCTGAGCAGAGCACTTCATCAGTAAGTTCTTTGAAGACTGTTTTCTTCTAGAAATGGTTTAAAAATAAAACAAATAAATCTCCCGGGAAGTAAGAATATCTGGATATCTTGTTTGTTCATTTCCGCACTGTCAGTCTGCATCATTCTGACTCATGTGCAGACCTTCAGCGGGAACGCTGCAAAATTTCCGTAGGATCTGTACTTTCTCATCTGTGGTTTTGCAAAGAATCATTGTTTTGTGATTTTTAATTTTCCACATCCTTGTTTTCCATTAGTCCCTGTTCCGTGCATGTGTTCATGTCAGCCAAACGCGTGACTTATGTCCTTTTGATGAATGAAAGAAAACTGAAGCAGAATCAGTCTGAACGAAAAAGCTGTGTTTCAAGTTCATTCCTTATTGCCTTGAAAGCGAGTGGCTGCAGCTGGTAAATACTCGACCAGCGAAATCACAGGTGAATGCCATCGCGTCATTTTCTGAGTGAAATTCAAAGTTTTAGTTCACTTGTGTGTTCGAGACCATTGGTTATTGATCGGTCCGTTTCTTACGCTTTTTTACATATATGCAAATTGCAACCCAGGCTGGAACGGACCAGATTTTCCGGTGCGATCATACGTTTTTGCACTAAACTCGCAGATCGCTATTAGCAGGAATGATCCCTACGC